CTGCTCCAGAGAGCTCCTAGCCCAGGACAGTTGACTCCTCAACACATTGAAATACGTTCAACTTGCCATTCTTGTCTGGTCCTGGGTTCTAGTGGAGGTAGGATAAAAGCTAGCTGGTTCAGTCTAATAATATTTCATGTTGGTGCTTCCCATTTTGGGAAGTAATCTTCTCCACAGAGTCCAACAAGCTTCTTGGATTATAGAAGAGGATCCCCAATCAGCTTCCCTGCTGCTTGGATCCACTGCTTTAACTCAGGCTGAGAAACACCAGGGTAGTAGGGGGTTCCAGGAAAGTTGCTCATCTTCCTCCCATGGTAGCTGTAGGACCTTCTCATCTCCAAAGTGAATCCCTAATGACATTGTGGGGCTCTTTGGTCTGTAAGTGACTCCAGGGTGAGCCTTGGTGTTGCACCCGTGCGACTTTCTTTGGAATGGGCCGGCCCTTGGGATCTAGACTCCTGCCTTTGGTTTTCCTCACAGCAAAGGGCCTACAAGCTGTGTTGGGCTCTGAGCCATTCCTGTGCAGCCCCATCCATCTTTGGTGGACTTGCACAATTGTAACGGAGCAGAGTGAAGGAAACATCTGTGCAGTTGCTCAAGATGCAGTACTCCAGCCTTGCTGTCCTTGGCTGTTCCCCCAGGTGGAAGAGGCATCAAGCTGATTTGTGTTGCTAGTGTCTGCCCAACTGATCTCAAAGTGCATATGGGGTGGTGGAGGGGATGCGCCTGGCAAATGAGGAGATATGGTCTTTAGGGGTTAGTGCACTCTACGACTAGGCCCCTAGCCCAAGCTTCTCCAAATTTCACTTCTATGTTGGTCAAAAGTGTGTGTACAAGCAGCTCTGTAGAACTGTTACAGTGGTTCCTCTCCACCAGAGCAGCAAGGGGGGAAATGAGGAGGGCACACTTCTGGAGGGGAATGGGGGTACGTGTTTTGGGAAAAGGAAATGGTAAGGAGAGAAGGGGCTGAGAGAGAGCAGCAACTGTGAAAGGGGAGGACTCGGAATATTTGAGGAATGGTCCTCTCTTGGGGAGAGAACCTGACATATGTGGGGACAGAAAAGCTATGAGCCACAAAAGTAAATGCATAAAATGTCCCCAGAAAGTTTTTCATTTTCATGACTAGGTAAATGAGGGCAGATTGATCCACATGGCATTGTTTGAAATGCTCGTTAGCCAGCCCTGGAATATCCTGTAACTGGAAGGACCTACTCAAGGTGCAGTTGTTCAGGAGGCTGTACCAGCAAGAGGCTGGCTCCTTATTGCAGAGGCAGCATCAGTTCTGGCACTTCTGATGTTTCTGTGACCAACTTAGAGGAAAGTTAGGTGTGCTTAGGTAGAGAGTTGGGAAGAGTTTCCTGTTAGGTTAGTGTTTTTGGTGGGATCTGGGGTCTCAGGATGTTGCCTGTGAGCATCAGAGCCTCTTGCTCTTAGGTTGGCAACATGAATTCAGCCCAGCTGAACAAGGATTAAGAATTGCGTTCTTTTAAGGGCTTTTAAAGGCTCCTTTGGAGATGAAGTTGGTGGGTCTCCGCTTCAGCTTCCCCTTCACAAACAACCGCTTTGTGCTAACAGGCCTTTTGGGGGGAGTCTGTCATCAGTTGCATGAGCCATGGAAACAGTGTCCTGGCCTGCTCCCAGAGCAATGTGTGAAGGAGGTTTGCCTTGCTGCTGGCTTGGAAAAAGACCAGGCCTGCTAAACTGATGCCACTTGCCTGCATTGAATGCATCTGTTTTTTTTCAGGTGAAGTTTCAGGTTATACACAAGCTCATTAAGGTCACATAAAATGTCACCTGCAGCAGCACAAAGTGTGGCAGAGATGGATGCCCCAGGCGATAAGATCTTTAAAGCAGGCAGCTGGAACAGAGGGCTGTAGGACACTCATCCCTCCCTCTGCAGCCTGCAGGTTTCCTTCACTCATTTTATTGCATTTGCCATGCCTGGGTAGAGCAGGCTGAGCTGAAATCCCATTTGGAGGTCTTGAGCTCAAGTACTAAGTATGCCAATTGTTCCCAGGCATCAAGGGCCTCAGCTTCTTCTGTCTGAGCACCTGTAAAGTGCTGCCACTGTTTGTGACAAGCGTCTTGAGTCTCTCTCTTGTGAACCCTCCTCCCAAGCAGGCCAAGCTCAGTAGACAAAGGCTCCTTCTTTCTGGGAGCAACTTGTTTGTAGTGGTCCTCAATGGTCCAAGTCTGCCTTAAGATGTTGGGCACAAGAGGAAGGAATGGAGAACAATGGGCGCTGCCTCAGCATGTCCGCAAGCGCCGGCAGCGATGAAATGTTGCCCTGCTGGCTCGGTGACTTTCCCAGCCACTCTAGCTTCTTGGCACTGAGAAGCCCTTTTTTGATCCCACAAAGCAGGCGACTAAGCCAATGCTGGAGCAAACTAAGGACTGCAGAAGGCCTCCCCAGCCAGGGACTGCGCTGGCAATATGTCAGATGGCAAAGGGCAGTGTGCAGCCTAGGAAATGAGAAACTGACTGCAGCTTTCTATTCAGTGCAGCCCTGCTGTCTGCAGAGACTGTGGGGATCAGCATGGAAGGCTTCATTTTCCCCCTTAATGGCCAGCAAGGACAATCCCTGGACTTCCAGGTGAAGGGCATGCCGCAAAATATATGGCCCATGTGACTGTTTTGGAAAGCAAGGTGGGGGGAAGGGGTTAGGCTTGCAGTCATGGACTTCAGTCCCTGGAGACCAGAGGTCACAGGGTCAAACTCCTCTCCAGATGCGTTGTCAGGACTCATCTAATGTAGAAAACCTCCTTTGCTAGATGGGACCTTTGTGTCTCAGTGAGATTCCCTCCTCTCCCAGCAGTCGTGTGGGTCAGTAGTGCCATTGGGGACACTGGATTTTCTCAGTCTCAGCCTCTCCCTAATGGTTATGGGCCCTTCTCTGAGCTACCCACACCTTATTTGTACAAGTGATATCAATAAAAAGCTGATTTAAATGGGAAGTGGATTTCTGATGCCTGGACGCGTGCCCTACGTCAGGCTGAAACCTGAGGATCAAACCAGCACTTGGGTGCTGTGCTGTTGGGGCACTGTGCTAGCATGGAGCCAACAGTGGCCTAGTTCATTGTGGGTCTCTGCCTAGTCCCAGCGCTGTAGGATCCATGTGGCAGGGAATTGCTTCCTACAGCACAGTTATTCTTATGGGTCCCTCTCGCCAAGAGCTGTAGCAGCGAGAGCCCAAGTGGTGGGAGCTCTGTCCCAGCGTCTCCCTCTCCCCCGAGAGGGAAGTGAAACCTGCCTGGACTCTCTGAAGGGGATTCCCCGAGCACTGGCAGCAGGCTGTTCAAGTCCGTTAGTGTGGGGGGTGGAGGCTGCCTGCGGTTTGCACTTCTGCATTTTTCTGTTGTTTCCCTGCTCGTCTGTTCTGCAGTAACCCAGGCTGCCAGTTGGTGCACTGGCCCTACCCTTGCTGCTCTGCCAGTGGGCCCCTCCCTGCCCTGCACCCAACAGTGCTGCTGCTGGCGCTCCATGTCCCCACCCTGTGCTGCAGCTCACTGAGTGACCGTTCCCTGGGCGCCCTCTCCTTGCCCCCTTGCAACTCGGCAAGTCACGATGCTCTGTGCCCAGCCTGGGGGAGAGGGTGCATGTCTGCACAGTGCCCATGCTAGACTGTATACTTCCTCGTGTGGGCAAGCCCATAGTTACCCTGTGAATGGCAGTAACAGAGGGAGGCTATTATTTAGGTTCCCTGTTATCACTGGTACTTGCTCCCCAGGCCTGTTGGATCAGGGCTTCTCCTCCCCTGGCAGGAGAGCTTCTCAGACGCAGGTTGCCCGGCCAGTGCTCTGTGTCACCGAAGCAGGTGTGCACTTCATCTCCCGGGCTGCATTGCTCAGGGGCCTTTTTAAGGTGCTTGCTAGAGCTCAGGCCCCGGCTTTCCTGAGGTCACGCCTTGTTCTGTCTCTCTCTCCCACCAGCGCCCTGGGATGCCGCCAGGCGCCCGGATGCCAATGACAGGGCTGCAGGTGGGGCCGCCTTCAGGACCGCCGTATGGAGCAGCCAGTCCCATGAGACCAGGCCTGCCGCAGTCGATGATGGACCCCTTCCGGAAACGCCTGCTTGCGCCACAGTCGCAGCCACCACTGGCGAGCCAGAGGCGAGGGTAAGGATGTGATCATTACCCTTCTGGGTAGGGCATGGTGTGAGTGAAGGCAGCTCCTCCCCTGGGATCAGACAAGTGGAGAGAGACCCTGTTACAGCCAGGCTTAGTGTACTAGAGTAGGCTTGGGCTCCTGCATCCTGCTCCCAGCCCTATTATGGTCTCCTTATGATCCTGGGCAAGTCACTGGGCTTTCTGCTGCCTCCCTTTTACCCATGTTCAAAGGAGGAGGCTGGTGCCTGGGCAGAGGAGCTGATTTCCATGGCTGAGTGGCCAACGCGCAGTATGTTGGAGTCTCTCAAGATAGTGCTGGGGGGAGGTGGCCTGAGCAGGGATTGATTAGATCTCGGCTCTCCTGCTCTCTGTTCCGTTTCCAGTTAATCAGCGCAAGGGAAGGATGTTCAGTGGTGCTGGGGGTTTCTAGTCCTTGATTCAGGACTGGCTAGGGGCCTCTCTCTCTCTCTCCCTTTGAGTGGCATACTTGGCTGCTTGTCCTTGGCAGATGTGAACGTGGATTTGGAGATGGGCTGTATCTCCGTGCCCCCGATATTTTGTTGTTGTTGTAAAAATATATGTCTCTCAATATAAAGTTATATATATCAACACTCTACCCATTACACCACAAAAGGATTAAACCTTTCCCATTACAGAAATCCGTACCCGCACAAAGGCCCGCTGGCCACCCGAACCCGTTACAGTATCCACAAACGTGTGCAACACACACAAAACAAACTAAGTCCATGCCGGTCCCTCAGACTAGCCCTTCCTTCCTTTCCACCCTTGCCCCGCTTCCGGGGTCACATAATCAGTTCAAACGCCCTCTCTGTTGTTGTCGCTCCAGCTTCCGCTGGAGGACCTGCCGCTGCTGTCACTGTCACTGTCCTCTGATCCGCTTGTCTGTTCCTCTTCTTTGCTGGGTGGGTGGGGGTTGTGTGATCCTGTGCCAGATGACGTTTGCTGCGTCTTCTCTGTCCTCTACTACCGATTTCTGGTAGTAGATCTGGAGTTCACTCAGCGCCGTTTTCACGCAGCCCGCTACCTCTATGTCCGTTTGTCTGTACAGCAGGAGGTTCCTGGCCTTCCGCGGGGCACTCCTGACGCAGAACGCAAACTGGTTGAAACAGGGCGACAGGCTCCCCTGATGTTTGGCAAGTTGCCTGTATAGTGCTGCTTCACTGGTTAGCCGGCTGACACCAGTCACTGCTTTGCAGAGCTGTTTTACCTTTTTCCATGCCTCCTTGGCATAGAGCCAGAGGAGATGCTTGATTGTCTCAGTGGCCCCGTGGCAGCTGGGCCACAGGCAGCTGGGTCTCCCCAACTGCCCCTCTCTATGCCTCCGGGCTCTCACTGGCAGAGCTTGGTGGGCTATGAGCCAGTTCAGGTCCCTGTGATCTTTGTGCAGCTCCTTGTGGTGGATGCGCTCCCACACGGCCTGCCATGCGTCACCCAGGAGCAGGTCCACGGGTGACGTGATGTCCCTTAGTCTCACCATCTTTTGGATCTTCCTGTGGTTTCTCATGTTTGCCGGGCCTGCGTTCTGCAGACCGTACACACTGCGGCACTGGTTCAGGGTCTCGTAGAACCACGGCGCTCTCATGATCCACGGTCTACGGTTGGTCAGGATGAATACCCCCTAGTGTCTAAGGATGTGGCCCGCAAAGTACCTCACAAGGCAAGCGGTTTTGGCTTCTGCATCCGTCACCAGTTTGCAGATCATGCTCACATACTTGGCCCGCAGGAATAGGAGGATGTCTGGCATGCCCTGGCCCTCTTGTCCTTGTACAGGGTCTTCCGGGAGACCTTTTCCCATTTGGAGCCCCAGAAGAAAACGCACACAGCCCTCTGGATCCTGTGGTATGCGGCTCTCGGAGGCTTCCTCCCCCAGTTTGGTCTTCCCTGCAAACCAAACTGGGGTGGGGGGGTGGGGGCATGCTGTGCCTGCTGTGCCGGCAGTTCCCGAGTTGTTTATGGTGCTGCTAATCCCTTTGCTCTGTTTCTGTTTGCACTGGGGTTTGTTGACTGCTCTGGGCTGTTTTCCCAGGGCAGGATCTCCTGGGCCTAGTGGATGCTTGGGTCCTTTCCCTGCTGGGGCTGGACAGTGGAGCCCAATTAATTTGATGCCTGCTAGCAGGTATATTGCCCCCAGCTCTACAGCTGGCCCTGTTGAGCCACACCCTTGGATTTGCATTCCCTTAGCAGAGCCCAGGGGTAATGCAGGCCAGAAGTTCCCGGCACTCTGTGTGCTGCCACGGAACTTGCTTCTTGGCCACAGGCTTTGTGGGGTGGGGGGGAGGGGAGAGTCTTGCTCAGGGGACTCGCTGGGCCTGTGCGTCTGCGTGACATTCCTGAGCAGAGCTGGAATTCTGATCACTGGGGAAGGGGAGGGAGGCGGCTGGCCCGTGCCGAGTGAGGGATCCCTCCCCTGGAGCAAGACGTGATCTTGCAGGGTTTCCAGCTTCACTCCATCCATAGCTTTAGTTGTGGTATGACTGGGTCTTGTGCTGGACTGGTATAGCTCTCTTCTCAGCCACCTGAGGGCTGTTGGGCAAACCTGCACCTTCAGCCACAAGTCAACATGCTCTTGGCCTGGGTTCCAGCTGCCTTTTCAATGGCACAGAAGAAAATCCCCCTCCAAAGACCTGTCAGTATTGGTTAGCACCCTGCCCCCTTTCCCAGAGAAACATTTAGGCTTGCATGAGCAGCAGTTTCAGACCTTTGGCCTCCCAGGTTCCTGTGTGAGCTGCCCTCAATGACCGTTGGCATAGTCTTGAGATGGCAGGGCATGAGTGCTAGAAGCTTTTAGGGGTACCAGGGTGTCCACAACAGCCACCTGAGTGCATGAACGACATGTGCCCCCAGCGACTGGGGGGGCACAGCAGCGGTGGGAGCACGGCAGCGGTAAGTGGGGAGCTGCCACAGAAGCCACTGGTGGTGAGCGCTGACCAGGGGTGGGCAACCACCCACAGACACTGCTGGCAGCGTTGGCAGCAGCCAGCGGCGGGTGCTGACTGCCCACAGATGCCGCTGGTGGTGGTGGGGGGTGGTGAGATCACTGACTGCCCGCAGATGCTGTCAGTGGTGGGGGGCAGGGGGGCAAGCGACGACTGCCCACGGGCGCCGCTGACAGTGTTGGCGGTGCCTTTTTGTAGGGGGTGCATCGCCACGCTCAGGGGGTGCAAATGCACCTGTGTGCACCCCCTATGTGTCGCCAGTGCTTGAGTGCCAACTGCTTTAGCAGAAGCCTCCAGCTTTGCTAGGACGACACAGGATGCTGGAGTCCTTCTGCAGTGTTCCTGCAGTGCATTCAGAAGGGATCTTTGTGTGGACTGACAAAGCTCTTTAGGTAGTGAAAGTCTCAATCTCTGCTCCAAGACAGCTCTCGGTTGCTTCTGCCCCCTGATAGACCCACTCTGTCTGAAGTCTCTCATGGGCTACATGCCAGGTGCTGTGATGTGGGGGAGTATCTGGGAGGGCCGTGGACAAGGCACTCCTCGGAGAGAAGGGATGGTTTCTCCTCTCTGGCTGTTCTGTCTCAAAAGCAGCACAGCCTTGAAACTATGGAGCTGGTTTGGTTTGTTCCCTTGCTATCAGCCAGGGATGGATTTGCAGGAGGGCTTGGGGAAGGCAAGGAGGCTGCCAGCATTCTCAAGAGTGCCCATGACCCTTAGGTCTTTGGGTGGTTTTGTGCCTGCACCACACACTGCAAGCTGGAGTCGCCATGTGTGCAGGTGTGACAGTACAGAAAGGAGTGACAGGCCTCCGGTGCCAGGGAGAACCTGCTTTTGCAGACCTCCTGTGCAGCGGCCTGGTGCAGATGAGGTGAGCGTGAGCATGAGGTGAGTTGGGAGATGAGGCTGATCCAGGCAGTTCTGCAGCTCCTGCAGTCACCCTGGAGTTCTTGTCTTAGCCTCACCTGTGCTGTGACTGCTGCCTGCCCTGGCAGGCCTGAGAGATCTCTGAGCAAGCGGTTTTGTTTGGGGATGGGGCATTGTGGCTCATACTCCATACCTGGAATCACAGCTGGGAGTTGGGATATTTACCCTGCCAGGGCTGTTAAACTACAACAGTCCCAGAACAGGATTCGCTGCTCCAAGAACTGTTTTCCATTGGGTCCTTGCAGCTGGAAATGGTAAAGCACAAGGGTGGACATTATCAGGTGGGGAAACTGAGGCACAGCAGGGTAGGAAGCATCTTGCCCAAGGTCACAGGAGAAGTTGGCATGACCCCAGAAGAGAACCTATGAATCCTCACTGTCCTGGTTTCTAAGATATACTGCCTGACCTCCTGGTAGACACTCTGGGCTGGGTTCTATGCTCTTGTCTATTATTTGTGTCTAGAGTCGGGGTGAGGACCTCCTGGCCACAGTCCCATATAGGTGACTTGTCTACCTAATGCACAGCATCTCCTGGTGTCTGGGGTCCAGGACTGGTTACCATTTGGATATACAGCATATACAGACATTCCCCCCCTCCCCCTGCAACCCCCAGGAGAAACTCTTCTGGGAGTAGTTTAACCCTGATTATTCCCAGGTTACTTTTCTCATGGAGTGGCCATTTTTACTGTGAGAGAAAAAGCATGAATATCTGTATGCTTGTGGTTTCTCTTGGGAAAGCAGCAACTCTCTGGAGAAACTGGATGTCCGTATGAGGCCCTACTGACCAGCAAATGAGGGAAAGCTGCTTTGTTCGGTTGGCCTGTAAGGTTCCTGGCAGGTCCCAGCTCCACGGGCTGGACCAGCATCTGAGCCTGGGCAGTAAGGCAAATTCCTTACTCTTCAGATGGGCAGCAGGATGCACGTTATCTCATGTCCTCATGGCTGTCACCCAGCTCCTACTAGCCTATGTTTTTTTTGCAGGGTGAAAAGGAGGAAGATGGCTGACAAAGTCTTACCACAGAGGGTAAGTGCTGCCTTTCTGATGATGAAGCAGGCAAAGAGTGCGGGCTTCAGCCCCAGGCTAGGGTGCACTGATGTCAGTGGACAGGGCTTTAAGAAAGGGATGAAAAGGGACCATCTCCCTCCCCTGGGTAGGGGTAGAAAGATCCCTGGGGTCTAGAGCCCTCAGTGATGTTGGGGATGAGGGGAGACAAGATCCTTTATGTAGCTAGTGGGGGCAGATGATCCCCCTGGCTCCTCTCCAGCATGGGGGTGGGGAAGAAGTGATGGTACCTTGGATTCTAGGGGACATCTGGAGCAGTGCTCTTGTGCTGAGCCTTTGACTTTCATGATGTGCCATGTCATAGTCCTAGAGGCGAGGTTGCTTATCCTTGAGCTGCCTGTTTAGTAGTCACCACCCAGGACTGTGCTGGCAGCAGGGAGTTCTTGGCTCCTAATCACCTTCACAGAGGAGGCTGCAGCAGGCACAGAGTGGGAAGGGGCTGCACCCTCACGTTCTGGGACTTACCTGGGAAGAGGGGAAAGAGAAGGAATGAAGGGCCAGTCCTTCAGCTGCTGGGTTTGAGCATGAAAGCAGTGTTCTCTGCAAGGGAGAGCTTTGCAGTGCTGTAGGATCCACACTTTGCCAGGTGGGGTGAGCTGTGCTTCCCTTTGCCAGGGACCATCTGGTGAGTTCAGGGTGCAGAGTTTAGTCATTTGTGACTAGGGGGATGTGCGTGGAAACAGTAGAAATGGTGCAGGACTTAGTGTGATGGATGCTCCTGGTGGGTTGGGGGTGCTCTGTAACTGGTTCTCTCTGTCTGGTAGATCCGGGAGCTTGTCCCAGAATCTCAGGCCTACATGGACCTCCTTGCCTTTGAGCGCAAGCTGGACCAGACCATTGCCAGAAAAAGGATGGAAATCCAGGAAGCCATCAAAAAGCCCCTGACGGTATGAGGCATTGTCCCTGGGAAGGAAGCTGTTGCCTGGGCAGCCCCAGTTGGCTTGGGTGGGCAGAGGTGCTCAGCATCCAGGACTCTTAAGAGCAGGGAAGCCTGGTTGGGGCACTGCCAGCTCGCTGCTTGATTTGAGTGTCCCTGTGTTTCTCTCTCTCTCTCTCCTTCACAGCAAAAGCGGAAGCTGCGTATTTACATCTCCAACACCTTCAGCCCGGCCAAGGAGGAGGGGGATGGCGGGGAGCGTGTAGCCTCCTGGGAACTGCGTGTGGAAGGCAAACTCCTGGAGGATGTAAGGATGTGGGCAGAGATGCCCTTGCATGCACACGTGTTTGTACTCCATGCTGTCTGGTGCTGCCCAGTGGGGCCATGGCAACAAGTTCCTTTTCTCCAGCTGAGTATGTGGGGGAGCTGTGCTGGTCCCACTTCTGCCCACCTACCACCCATCCCTACCTCACGCAGGTGGCCAGCTCATATCCCTCTCCCAGCCCATGGTTTACCTTTGCTAGCCAGGGAGCAAAGCTAGTGTTGCATGGACTCTGTGTTGGCTCATATGCTCTTGTTCCTACAGCCCTCTGTGCTGGGCTGAGAGGCTATGTAGAATTACTGCACAGCTCCTGGTCTCAAATGCCAGCAGGCACTATCCCAAAGTGGAACCCGGGGCACTTTGCCTGGCTGTATAGTCTCCCTCCCTCATATGCCATCAAAGCATTTCCTAGCCAACAACCCAAGGAGGCCTCCAGTGTTATTGAGTTCCTCCCTGCCTCTCCCTGTACCCTGAGAGTCCCTTGAGCCTGCCCAGGTCTGGTATGTGTCTGTACTATGGAGCCCCACAGCACCAACAGGTCTGCTGAGTTGAGCCCTCCAGAATCCCCCAAGCAGCCAGGTTCAGCGCCACCTGCAGGTCATGCCCCTGCACTGTGGGTGGAGGATCTGTCACGGGGTTTCTGTGCTCCTGCCTGCCTGGCACTACACCCCCAGGGCCACTGTGGCTTGAAAGGGGGTGGTTGAGGCCCACACTGGCTTGTGTCTTTCAGCCAAGCAAGCAGAAGAGAAAGTTTTCCTCCTTTTTCAAGAGCCTTGTCATTGAGCTGGACAAGGAACTCTATGGACCAGACAACCATCTGGTGGAGGTGAGGTGTCCCAGCAGGTGCAGGTGGGGCTGAGGCAGCTGGCTGTCCTGTGTACCTCCTGAAGTGGGTCTCTGAAACCTCGGGGATCCCTGGGGCTGGCCCTGTGGGTGGCTCAGGAGAGTAGTGGAGCTGTGGATTGGGATATAAGCTCAGCTGAATCTTCCCTGCAGGTGCTTGGTCCTTGGCTTTCATCGTGTGTTAGCAGGTCTTGCTGGGGATAGTTCAGCGTGAGAATGGGAGGAGGCATATATAGGTGTGGGCCATGTTTCATAGTTTCATAGTTTTAGGGTCGGAAGGGACCTAATAGATCTTCTAGCCCGACCCCCCGCCAGGGCGGGAGAACAACAAAAGAACCCTAAACAAAAAACGGGACTCAAATGAGTCCAGCCAGGTAGGTATCCAGCCTCTTCTTAAAGATCCCCAGGGTAGGGGCCAGCACCACCTCCCTTGGAAGTTGGTTCCAGCTCCTAGCCGCCCTAACTGTGAAGTAGTTTTTTCGGATGTCCAATCTGTACCTCCTCTCCATCAACTTGTGCCCATTACTCCTTGTTATGCCAGCGGGGGCTAGGGGAAACAGCGTCTCCCCCAAACCCTTCTGGTTCCCCCTAGTGAGTTTATAGACGGTCACCAGGTCCCCCCTCAGCCTTCTCTTGTGGAGGCTGAATAGGTTCAGGTCCCGCAGTCTCTCACTGTAGGGTCTGCCCTGTTGTCCCCGGATCATGCGGGTGGCCCTCCTCTGGACCCTCTCCATGTTGTCCACATCCCTCCTGAAATGGGGCGCACAGAACTGGACACAATACTCCAGCTGCGGCCTGACCAGCGTCGCATAGAGGGGGAGGATCACCTCCCTGGCTCTACTCGAGATGCACCTGTGGATGCACGACAAGGTCCGGTTAGCCCTGCCAACCATGACCTCGCATTGTCGGCCCATGTTCATCTTGGAGTCAATAATGACACCAAGATCCCTTTCCGCCTCCGTGCTCTCAAGTAGGGAGTTCCCCATCGTATAAGTGTGCTGCTGGTTCCTACTACCCAAGTGCAGCACCCTGCACTTGTCCGTATTGAAACACATCCTGTTCCTGTTTGCCCACCCCTGTAACCTATCCAGATCCTTCTGCAATCTCTCTCTCCCTGCTAGCGTGCTCACCTCCCCCCAAATTTTGGTGTCATCAGCGAATTTAAACAGGTTGCTTTCCACCCCAACATCAAGATCGCTGATGAAGAAATTGAACAGCGCAGGCCCCAGGACCGAGCCCTGGGGGACTCCACTACCCACCTCCCCCCAAGTCGAGTATGATCCATCCACCACCACCCTCTGAGTGCGACCCTTCAGCCAATCTGCAATCCATCTGACTGTGTAGGCATCTATGCCACAGTCGCCTAGTTTATTAATTAGGATGGGGTGAGAGACGGTGTCAAAGGCCTTGCTGAAGTCCAGAAAGACTACATCCACCGCGACACCTGCGTCCATGGCCTTTGTGACCTGATCATAAAAGGCCATCAGGTTGGTCTGACATGATCTCCCCCTAATAAATCCATGCTGATTGCCCCTGAGCATCATTTCTGATGCCGGCCCATCACAAATGTGCTCCTTGATGATCTTCTCAAAGAGTTTCCCTAGGATTGAGGTAAGACTGACGGGCCTATAGTTGCCCGGGTCCTCCCTTTTCCCTTTCTTGAAGATGGGGACCACATTAGCTGCCTTCCAATCGTCTGGCACCTGGCCCAAGCACCACGATCGCTTGTAGAGCCGTGCCAGGGGCCCTGCAATAACCCCAGCTAGCTCCCTCAGCACCCTGGGGTGGAGAGCATCCGGACCCGCTGACTTGAACGCGTCCAGCCCCTCCAGAAGCTCTCTAACCTAGTCCTCCCCAACCTGAGGTCTGAAGGCGATCCCCTCGCGTCCGGCTTCTATCACAGCAGGGAAGTCCCGGTCCCTGCACAAGAAAACAGAGGTGAAGAATTGGTTAAAGAGGTCCGCTTTATCCTCTGACGCAACCACCAGATTGCCCAGCATATCCTGCAGGGGCCCCACATTACATGGGGGATCCTCACTGCAAGGACTTGCCAGTGCTCCCTCCAGGCTCCATGATGGCTTTGTTGTTTCTCTGTGGTGGTTCTTGGCTGTGGCCAAGGGTGGTGGCAGTGGCATGGCTCTTCTCCCCCCTGCCCCCCACCTGGGAGACCCAGCAGCAAAGGATGGCAGCTCTGCCACTGTCTATCAGACTGAGCCCCCTCTGTTTAAGCCTTTTATTCCCAAGATTGACAGAGGGAGCAGAGGGAGGGGTGGGGAACAATTTTGGCACCAGTGCACTCTTAGCCACCCCTTCCCCCCCAGTAGTGCAGGGTGAGGCTTCAGACTGCTGAGGGGGCTCACAAAGGGTAAATAACTGGGGTGAAGCGCCCTCTTGCGGGCATGGCAGCAACCGGCTTTGTCTTGTTGGTTCCTGCAGTGGCACAGGATGCCCACAACCCAGGAGACTGATGGCTTCCAGGTCAAGCGCCCTGGTGATGTCAATGTGAAATGCACCCTGCTGCTTATGCTGGACCACCAGGTAAGGCCCCTTGGGAGTCAAGGGTGCAGGGTGCTGCCTCCCAGCTCTCTCCTCCCCTGCCCAGCACTGTAGGGGGTGTGGGGGGGAGTGGGGTGGTAGTGCTTTGTTGGCCTGACTCAAGTGAGGATGATCCTGGGAAAAGTCCTTTCCCTTCAGCAACAGATAGTGGCCCGGTGCTGCTGGGTATTGAGCCCAGGAGAAAGCAGAGCAGCAGATAGACAGCCCTCAGTATCTCCTGGCTACTTGTCTTGGAGCTGGAGGGGAAGGGGGCCCCAGCAAAGGTGCACAGTATACCTGCCATGTGGGGCAGGCAGAGAGTTCCTCTTCCTTAGTTTGTGCAGGATTTCTCTGTGGTCTACCCAGGGATGCACATGTACCAGGTCCCGCAGAAGAAGTCCCAGTAGATTCAAGGCCCCTGTGAGGAAGGGGAGTGCTGTCCCCACAGGCATTTTTAATGTGGACATTTTTAATTGCAGCCACCGCAGTACAAACTGGACCCTCGCCTGGCTCGCCTGCTGGGCGTGCACACCCAGACCCGGGCCAACATCATGCAGGCGCTGTGGCTCTACATCAAACACAACAAGCTGCAGGACAGTCATGAGAAGGAGTACATCAACTGCAACCGCTACTTCCGCCAGGTTAGCCCCTGCCCCCTTGTTCGTTCCTGCTGCCATGCTGCTGGGCAGGGCTGCTGTCTTTGTCGGTATGGATACCTTGGTCCCTGATGTGCTGGGAAAGCCTGGCACCTTCCTGGCTTCCTGCGGAGCCTGGTGTGGGACATGGGGAAGGACCTTTCTGAGACATGCCCATTGGTGCTGCAGCATGGCTCTGGGGCCAAGATTGTCAAGGGGCTGGCTGCCTCTTACACCAGCAGCTCTTCCACATGCCCCATTCCTCAGCAGCAGTTCTGACAGCATTTCTACCAGCCAGAGATGGGTCACTAATCCTTGGCCTGTATTGGCAGCCATTCCCATCCCCAACAAGCCCATCCCACTGGCCGCTAGGCAGTGCCTCTGAGCCTTACTCCTTTGGGTGCTTTCAAAGGATCCCTTGCCCCAGACGCTGCCAATGCTCTGGTTTGTTCCCGGCTAGATCTTCAACTGCATCCGCATGCGATTCTCCGAGATCCCCATGAAGCTGGCAGGGCTGCTGCAACATCCCGATCCCATCATCATCAACCACACCATCAGGTGCGGCACAGCTGGGCATCCTCGTTGGGCTCTGGCAGGGAGGCTGCCACTGGAGCAGGAACAAGGAGCTCAGCTTTGGGGCCTTCATCCCTCCCCACCCCCAGCTCTAGAAATGCTTTCCTGAGGAGCCTGATGGAAAGCAGTTTGTTCCTGGGCTGTGCTTTTTCTATGCGCTGTGGCTGGACAGGCCCTAAACCCAGGGTGCAGGGGTAGATAGGGTTGGATGGCTCTGGACCTGGAGGCAGGGACCTATGAAATCTAGTTCAGGAAAATTGGGCTTCTCACCTCAAGGGTGCGGGTCCCAAGGGCAGCGGGAGCTGATGTTGCCCACAGTGGTTACCCAGAATGTGGAACAAGTTGGGGCATCTTGCTGTGATATCAGTAAGGCTGAGGTTCATGTGAGGAAGCTGGTTTTCCCTCTGGGGTACGTGAGGATTGGGGGCTGCCTGTGACCATCTGCCCAGCTCCATGGCTGGCTGCCCCAGGCATCCCCCCAACGACTTGGTCTGTCCCTCGCCAGTGTGGATCCGAATGACCAGAAGAAGACTGCCTGCTATGACATAGATGTTGAGGTCGATGACCCTCTGAAAGCCCAGATGAGCAACTTCCTGGCCTCCACCACCAACCAGCAGGAAATTGCCTCCTTGGATGCCAAGGTTTGGGGTGTCTTTGCGCTGCCCAGCTCTTGCCCTGCCAATCCGGGAGATGAAATCCTGCTAGGGCAGACAGTGCCAGTCCCCTCTCCCTGCCTTAGTAGCTGGGATCCTGGCACACTGACTGAGCTGTCA